TATATTTAAATATAGTAGGGTCTGGCTTGTGTGTAAGGGCTATTAACTCCACTGTAAGGTAAGTTTTAAACTAGGACCAGACAGTGATGAGGGTCAGGATAAATTAAATGTAAAAAAATAAGACGAAAAGAAAAGTTTAGGATAGGAAATGAGTATAGAAGTAGTTATAAGGATAGGCTTAACTGTTACTATAGTAACGTTAGAAGTATAATAGATGACTTTAGAACACTGGGAGGATTTTGATATAATAACTGAAACATGGTTAAACATAGATGATTTTGATGACAGAAATGTCTTTGAAATAGAGGGTTACAGGCTATTTAATACGGATAGAGTATTAAAGAGGGGAGGAGTGGCTTTATATGTAAAATGTGAGTTGCATCCTGTTGAAGTTGAGGATATCAAAAATAATAGCAAGGAGATTGAATCTATTTGGGTTTCTATTAGTGGATATAAAAAGAAAAGGCTTTTGTTACAGACCACCAAATGATACTGATGAAATCAGTGACAAACTTTACAATGAGATTAAGATTCCAGCTGTTAATGAAGTCATAATTATGGGTGATTTTAATTTCAGGCATATAGATTGGGAGTCAAACCATGAGGGAGAAAGATTTTTGGAAACTGTTCAGGATGGCTTTCTTCACCAATTAGTCAAGGAACCTACTAGAAACAATTTCCATCTTAGATTTATTGTTAACTTCAAATATAGAAATGATTGAGAGGGTGGAAATTGGGGAGCTTCTGGGTGCAAGTGGCCATTGCTCTATTAGGTTCGATGTTTTGCTGCATATGGAGATAAGGAATAATGATATTTTTGTTATAATTTTCAAAAAAGCAAATTTTCAAGGGATACAACAAGAATTATCTGTTGTGAATTGGATGGCTGAGTTATTTGGAGACACTAATCATATGTGGTAAATTTTCAAAGATAAATTTTTAAATATTCCAGGTAAACATTTTCCTATAGAAAGAAAAGGGTAGCTACAATTAAAAAACCAGGTTGGCTTACAAAGAATTTAAAAGATAAAATTAAAGAAAAGCATCGTACATTTAAGAAATTCAAATTCAATGGTATGACAGAAGATTATACAAGATCAAGAAAGTTGGTGAAACCGGAAATTAGGACATCAAAAAGGATGTATGAGAAAAGGTTGGCTGAAAATGTAAAATTAACAGTAAGGATTTCTGTGAATGCATTAGGGGTAAACAAAATGTCAGGATGGGGGTAGGACCCTTGAGGGATGATAAAGGAAGGCTAGTATCTGATAATTATAAGATGGCTGGGTTATTAAATTTTGCATTTTCTTTGATTTTTACTATCTAACATTTAAGCAGTGTTCCACATCTTGAATAGTTGATAAGTGAAAATGAGATCAAACAAGATGACTGTATTAATTCTGAGCTGGTTAAGAAAAATTTGGGAAGTTTAAAAAATGATAAGACTCCTGGGACAGATAATATTTTCTCAAGGATTTTCAAGGAGGTTAAAGACTGGATATTGAGCCACTTACTACTTTGTCATTCCTTGAATAGTGGGCAGGTACCAGAGGATTGGAAGTTAGCAAATTGGATATAAGAGTGGCTGGATGGAAGAAAGCAGAAGGTTGTTACAAATGGAGTTCAGCCAAACTGGATTAATGTCACAAATGGGATACCTCAGGGCTCAGTCTTAGGCCTTTACTCTTTTTGATTTACATCAATGACATAGATGAAGGAATAGTAATAAGTTACTTAAATTTCCAGATCATGTTAAGGTCTTGGATGTTGTTAGCTGTGAAGAGGATGCTGCTGATTTACAAAAAGATTTAGATCATTTAGTGAATTGGACAGGTAAATGACAGGCAGATTTTAATTACAATAAATGCCAAATAATGCATGTGGGTTATCATAATGTGGATAGGAATAACCTTAGCAGTGTTATCAAAGAAAGGGATCTTGGTGTAGTAGTTGGTCAGTTACTTAAACCATCCAAGCAATGTGCTGTTGCTTGTGGTAGGGCAAATAGTATTTCAGGTTGTATCTACAGAAATATTGAATACAAGTCTAAAGAGGTTATAATTTCATTGTACATGTCACTGATGAGGCCACATTTGGAATATTGTGTTCAGTCATGGGCTCCTTACCTTAGGAAAGATGGTGAATTGTTGGAAAGTGTTCAGAGAAGGGTTATTAGAAAGGTACCTGGGATGTAAGGATTGTCATACAAGGAGAGGCTGAAATCTCTAAAAGTGTTTTCTCTTGAAAAAAGAAGAGTTAGAGGCGATCAGATTGAGTTGTTTAAGATTGTAAAGGAAATTGATATTGTTGATGCATCATTTTTTTTTCATATTCAACAGTGATAATAGTAAGATTAGGGGACACAAATATAAATTTTGGCAAGGTAGGAATCATCTTCAGCTAACACAGTTTCATTTTTCTAACAGGGTGGTTGGCCTTTGATATGGATTGCCTTCAGATGTTCTAGAGGCAGTAAATTTAAGTGAGTTTAAGAAAATGCTTGATAAGTATATGAATCATATGGGCTGGATTTAAGATTTTTTTTTAACTATTTTAATTTAGTTTAGAGGATGGAACAGCTGAGATGGACCAATAGGTCCCATGTTGTCCAAATCGTTATATTATGTTATCTTCCTCTTAATGACATTAGTTTCATTTCATATACACAAAAGTTTTAAAAAACTCAATAAGTGCTGATATTGTATATCTATAACCTTATTTGCAACTATTTCCATGCACCATAACTATCATGGAAGAGGATTACCACAAAATGTAAATCTATATGCCATCTAACACTTTAGAATTTGCACAAGTGAACAAAATGAGTTCTCAAGAAAACAAATTTTTTGTAAAAGCAAGAAATAATAAACTATTGCAGCCAGTAATGAAAGAGGAAAGTTAGTGATAACTAATTTTTATTCTTGTTAATGGTCTAAGTCAGGTATGAACAATTTGTGACCCACCAAACAATTATATTTGACAAGTAGGCATGTTAACTCTAAAATACAGAGGTTATTTATATATATATATATATACTAGCACAATTTATTCAACCAAAACATTTTGTTGAAGTACCAATTTCAAATGTTAGAAGGAAAACATATTTTTAAACAAACCTCATCATGTTTTGTACCAAATCATACTGAAAGAATCAGCTTAGTATGTTATCTTATGTCTTTAGAACGAAATATTTCAATTATTTGGGATAAAATGAGGTCATAAATTTGGTGGTTGTGATTTAATTTGTTATGCTTATAAACTATAAGATACATTCTTAAAAAAAGTCACAATTTGTAAAAAACAACGATTATTTTATACACAATTCTATAAAAATAAGATTGTTTCCAGTGTCCAAGTTACTAACATACAATAACTTACTATACAGGATAAAAAGTGGTAAAAAACCCTGATGAAACTGGAAAACAATCTCATACACTCTACATGTATCAACATATACTACTGCGTCATCCTCAGGAGTGTAATGTTTTGCAAAAAATAACACTTATTTATACAATTATCGAAACACCAATTTACACATTAAAGACTTTCATGCCATGTTCTGACAACATTTCTATCAGGTCCATCATCCTTATTCAGTAATTTCAATTTACTTTTATTACATTTAATTATCTCAATAGATTCACGTATATTCATACCAGTTAAATTTTCAGGTTGTGCTAAAATAAAAATTTTTTCCCTTTGAGTTGTGTGATTAGTTTCGCCAACATGTTCTGCTAAAGTTGAAATAGCAATATTATTATTTTTAACATTTCTTTTATGTTCATTCAGTCTGAATTTTAAATTTCATCTAATTTGTTGTATATAATTTTTTTATATTCACATAATATATGCCAAATTTTTCCATTAAATCAATTTTATCTTTAGTTGTATTAAGAATTTTCCTGACTTTGTTTATTGGTTTGTCTATGAGAAAAATATTTATTTTTTTAAATTTTTCATTATTTGACAAGATAAACCAGGTATATATGATAGTGCTAAACATTCTTTCTTACTTTTTTTCAGCAAATGGTTTTAACTTAATATTTTTATCTTTGTTTTTTAATTTCATGACTGCCCTGTCAACAACATCTGGATTAAAACCTCTTTCCTCTGCTATGTGCTTAATTAACAATAACTCATTACTGATATCATCCTGTTTACAACATAATTTTAATATCCTATCCACATAAGAGTAAAAAACACAGTTTTTGTTAAATGTAGTGTGACAAGATTGTTGATGTGGCAGAATGATTTCAGAGAAAGGTTTACGATAAATGGTAGTTTCTAATTTGGCCCGGCATGGCCAGATGGTTAGGGCACTCGTCTCACAATCTGAGGGTCGGGGGTTCGAATCCCCGTCACACCAAACTTGCTCGCCCTTTCAGCCGTGGGGGCGTTATAATGTGATGGTCAATCCCACTATTCGTTGGTAAAAGAGTAGCCTAAGATTTGGTGGTGGGTGGTGATGACTAGCTGCCTTCCCTCTAGTCTTACACTGCTAAATTAGGGATGGCTAGCACAGATAGTCCTCGTGTAGCTTTGCACAAAATTAAAAAAAATAAAAAGTTTCTAATTTATCCTTATTTTTACTCACTAAAACATCCAAAAAAGGTAAACAACCATTTATCTCAACTTCATAATTTAATTTTATAGAATTATCAATCTTATTAAGGTAATTAGCAAAATTAGCTGGTTCATCTTTACCATACCGCCAAATCAAAAATGTGTCATCCGCATACCTTAACCAAACTTCACGTTTTTTATCTGCTATTTCTAGTGCTTCAATTTCAAAACTGTCCTTGAATAAATCACACAATAATGGAGATAAAGGAGAACCCAAAGCTAAACCCTCTTTCTGTTTATAAACTTTGTTATTAATTTGAAAAAATGAGTTTCAACACATACTTCTACCAGGTTAATTATATCCATTATTTCTAAGACTGAATTATTATTTTCTTTCAGTTTTTTTCTCAAAACATTCAATAGCTTTTTTCACAAGTACTTTGGTGAACATTGACATAACATCAAATGACACCAAAATATCTTTTTGATCTGAAATTATATGCTCAATTCTTTCCAGAAATTCAAACGAATTCTTAACTGTGTATTTATTTTTATCCCTTTAAAATGAGAATTTTTAGATATAAGTTTTGCTATATTATAAGTTGAACTCTTAATATTGGATACAATAGGTCTGAAATTATTACCAATATTATGAACTTTAGGCAAGGCATATAATCTAGGTAAAATAAATTTACTGGGAATTAAATTTTGCTTTTCATAAGGTGTTAGAGTTATACAACTCTTAATTTTTACTTTAACTATTGTATAAAGTTTATTTATAGGATTGAGTTTAATGTTCTCGTATGGACCTTCTTTCAAAATTTCTTCAACTTTAGAATTGTAATCATTTTTATTAAGAATAACAGTTTGTCCCCCTTTATCAGCCTTGCAAATGACATCTTGTTTCTTTAAATTTTCAAAATTTCAAAGTCCTTTTTATTATTATTTTTGAACTTAAAATTATTGAATAAAGTGGAACATTCACTTCTAATAATATGTGATTTTTCATCATTTAATTATTTCAAGTTAGTCTTAATTTCAGTTATGATATCTTTTTAAAAACCTTTATTTGAACCAAATGAGAAATTTAAACCTCCGTTTAAAAAATCAATCTGTTTATCATTTAGTATTAAGTCAAATTTATTCATGACTTTAGGGTTATTTAAAAAACTATTATACTTATCTGGCAATGAATCTAGTTTATAATGTTCTTCATTCACTTCTTTTTTCTGAATTAATAAATTTTTAACTTTTTGTCGAACGTAGTTTTACATGTAGCAATATTTTTTTGTGTATTTATCCATGACTTCCTTTCCCATTCTGTCCAGTCTTCATTCATTTCCTTAGATAGAGCTAATTGCAATAAATGCACTCTTTTTTGTCAAATTACAATATTCATTATATTCTCCACTTTCTTGTCTTTAATATTGCAATCCAGTTTTATGAATTTTGACGTTATTTCATTTTGTTTACACATCATTAAAAATGCTAGTTGTTGAAGGCATTTTTTTAACTTCAGTCTTTGTCATTTTTATAGAATTGTGTATAAAATAATAGTTGTTTTTTAAAAATTGTAAGTTTTAAGATTTAACATTACACACATGCCCAAAATTTTTTTTAAATATAAAATACATATTTGAAAGTTTTTGTTAATTTATTAAAGGTCTATAAGCTGTAGCTTTTATATCACTGTATACAAGCCTCTTTTCAAGTTTTTGTTAATTTGTTAAAGGTCCATAAACTGTAGCTTTTATATCACTCTATACAAGCCTCTTTTCCAAGTGAATGACCAATGACTGCAGCCTGTTAAAATATATAGATACATAGCCCATCACATTTTTGTTATTAGTATTGTGGCTTCTATACTACATCAAAGTTCCCCCATTCCTTGTCACAATAAACTTTGAAATGAATAAGATTCAGTCATCAGTTAACTTTTACCAAGTCACTCGAAAACAGTATTTGTATTTTACACTTTTGAATGCATTAAAACTTAAAAACTTGATTGATAAATTTACTAATTACTAGTTTTTACAATAATATGTTTAAACAATGATGTAAATATAGTATGTGTCAAGGTGTCTATATACATCTGTATAAACCTAAATTGTCATCAAAAATTTATTGTACAAATTTTCAGAATCAATGATAACCTATGCTACATTTAGTAGAATTTATTAGCTTCACATATACGTAACTAAGAAATATTTGCTAACTCAGACATAAATTCATAGTTCAGTCATGCATATCTGATAATCTTTCATTGAACCTACAAAATACCATAAAAGATAAATGTTTGTTATATTTTAGGACATTGGCTCAAAACCTGAAAAGGTGTGAAATTGTTGAGAAGCTGAGACAAAATATTGTAAATCCAAGTGTCAGGCTGAAAGCAGTGATTACCCAACTGAATCAGGTAAAAATATACATATATATATATATATATCTTATGTTCACTTATGTTTCATGCATTCTATCAGGTTTTATGTATGTATGGGCTAGATTATTTACAGTAGGTGCCAGTGACTTATTGGCGATAAATTTCAACAATATACAAACAGCACACAATCCTACTTATTTTCAAATAACATATTAAAACAAGTCAAATGTATATATAAAAGTTTGTTACACTGTTAGTTATGATAGTTGTATCCAGAACTTTAAATAATAGTGTCATTTTCATCAAATACCAAACAGGTTGATTCAGTTACTTTAAAACTCAATTGACAAGATGAATTATTCTTCTCTACTCTGTTATTACAATCTGCAATAATTTCACATTAAAATGCCAATATGCTCTTTATGGCTAAACCCACTATCATGGAGTCTAGATCTATCTAACTATCTCTATGTCTTACTCAAACTACATATTATACATACATTATATTTATAGCTGGACCAAGGCCTAGAATGTTCTACATACTTTGAGATATTATGATTCAATAATACTCAATCAAAACAATGAGAAAAATCTAGAAGGTTTTAGTAACATGATGCAATAATACAACAAGCACCAATTCACAACAATTGAACAACATAATGTGTGATTCGTACACAGTTATGTAAACAAATCTGTGATAAACTATCACTTCTAAAAATAACTAAATTTAACACTCCCAGTCATGTATATGTAGAATCTATCAACTACTGAATTGTTGAGTACAGTGACACAACACAACAGAATCTACCAACTGGTTACTTCTTCATTATAGAGAAAAGCATATTAGATATACCATCTGCTTAATTATTCAATATAATTAAATAGCATGAATTTACCAAGTGGTTAATTCTTCATGATAGTTAAATAAGAGGATAAAATCAATAAAGTGGTTATTTTTTTATTAGAGTGAAAGCATATGGCAGAATCTACCATCTTGTTAATTCTTCATAATAAAGAAATATCACGGTAGAATATACCAACTGGTTTATTCTTCATTGTAGTGGAATAGCATAATAGAATATATCGACTGGTTAATTCTTCGGAATAGTGAAATATAATGATATAATCTAAAATCTAGCAAATTTTTCTCTTAATATATCTTGTGATGTCTTGTTTTTACTTGTCTATTTATAAACCTTCTGACAGTATATATTCATTAGTATGATTATATTTTTTGTGGTATAGGAGTATCACATATTTCACTCTCCTATAGAATAACTTTAATGTAATAGTAAAATCAGTAAATCTTGGTAGAGATCTAGTTCTGAACCTAGGAAATATAATTTAGGCCAAATGCTTACTTAGTCAAGGATATCAGTTGCTTTTTCGTGGGATAGGTGTATTGTTTCCAACATCTCTCTGAGTGTGAGGCTATTGTACAGCTGTCACATGAAACAAAAATACTTCCATGTTCTTGTAATCCAATTTATGATAGATCAGTTATAGAGAGAATATGAATTGTGAGAGCAGTTTTAGCACTTTCAGAGAAAGTTATGACTGAACTCTGCTTTGCAGCATTTTTGTTGTTCTTGATTTGCTGACCAGCATATTATTTTATTTTTAACTTGCCCATTAACAAAAATAATATGTACTTGTTTTTACAAAGATTAGTCTTGGCTCTTTCATTTCATGAGCAACCTGTCAATTATTGAAACATTCCAAATACTGGAATACCACATTCTTTAACATATATTTTATACTTTTATATTCATATACAGATTGTTTACTTTATAAACCCTTTAAACAGTCATTAATGTGTATATATTTCTTAACTTGTCAGTCTCTCATACATCTATGTTAATTGACTGGTATTCATGTACAAACTCATATAAAAATCGATATCAAGAAAAATGACAAATCTTGAAATCCTCCCATTTATTGTGAATAGTCATTCCTTGTAACATTATTTGTATATTATTTAAAATTGATTGTGCTCATTGATATCAATAAATAAGCTGCCTTTAATAAATTTTACTTTCTTTCTACAAATTTCTGATTATTTATTGTTCATAACTCACCTCTTGTAATTTATTATATAGGTTTGCTTATTCAAACTTCAGGTGGGCTATATATGAAGATCAAGAAAGTATTTATGAAATTGCAATCTGTCCTTCCTACTGTATTAGTAAACAGAGAGTTTCAAAATAAAATACAAAATGAGTGGTCAGAAAGGAAGAATTGTTGAAATGTAGAATTTAGGATTATGCTTCATATGATAACTATGTATATACTATAAATTGCTAAAAAATGAGAAAACTGTGTCAAAGTTTTAGCAAATTTAAGTCTTAGAACAAAAGTGGTATATTTAAGAAAATATGTGATACATATGAACCTTGATTCAAGTCCCCTCCTCTTCCAAAACATAATTAACTCTGCTCACACTACAGCTTTTACTCAACTGCTAGGATTTCCTTCTATTTATCTCACATTATTTGCATGATCTGGCAGCATCTTCCTCTGAGGGTTTTTGACTACCTCCTGTAGCTATTTTAACCACATCTGCTAAATCATAAGGAAGTGTATCTTCATTACTAATATTGTCTCTTATTTACATTCCAGGGTCCCTTACCTCTTTTTCACACGATCCTATTCTGTGGAGAGTGTTGCCCAAGCATGTTTGCTTTTATCAAACGAATTCTGCACTAGCAACCATTAACACAATATATTTTATCAAGTTTGCAACAGGCTCTATAGAAATGAGGTGCTCCATAAGACCACCTAGAGGCAAACCAGGTGTATTACTCTAATATGCTGGACTGCCACTTGTGTACTATTATGAGTAAAGCAGAAGGGGATCCTGCCCATCCCTGTTGATCATTGGATTGAATAAATCGTGATCAGTTTGCTTTTAAAAAGTTTAGAGAATGTCATTCACCTCTTGCACTGTTTCCAGAGCATTGTTCCTCAGGACTCCTCAGCACGCATTACTTCCCCCTCCCATATTCTACTACTGGAGCTAGGGAGTCCTTACCACACCTGATTTCCAGTCACTGGGGTGGTTGACAGAGGTTGTTACTCCAGATTGTTTGAGTGAATTCCTCCACTCAGGTCCCTAGATGTTTTTTTTTTTCTCAGATGTTGGTAGGAGAAGCACCAGCCTACACGGGAGCTTACTCATAATACCAGTTCAGATTTGGGGCTCAGCTATTTGGTTAGGTTGAGCATGGCCCTTCTTTTTTTTTTTTATCAATATTGGTTCAGTACATTGTTCATGGAAGAGGGTCCATTGTCTCCGCATAATTCCAAATGCAGAGTAGTCTCATTTTGGATTTTGGGTTGAGCACAGCTTGTTCCACATCCTCCACATAATTTCAGGGATAAGTGGAATTTACCTTGCCCACACAGTTGAGGAGTGAGGATGATTGTTCTTAATTCCAGACCGTATGTGTTCTGTTTCCTCAGGTTGAGTATGTTTTACAGGATCCTGTCATTCCGAGTTGGGGTGTTGCCTTTCTGACTTCTTCAGGTTGAGGAGAGGGTTTGTTCACTTTGGTGTTGCTTGCCTTCTCATCCTGATTCCAGTGGCTCAGAATGCATCACTTTATGGCTACAAGTCTGGATCCACTCACAAGTATATATATATATTGCATTCCAAATGCCCCAGGCCTTCAACGTTGCATTTAGGAACCATTGTCCTATAATTTCAGTGGAACCTCAGCTACCTGGTTGGGGCATGGCCAATAATGGTGACGGATCATGTCAAATTCTACCTACAGTGCATGAATTAGGTTCCGGATGAAAAGCATATGAGGATATTCGTCACCTTGTTTCCACCTTAAATATATATTTTAACTACATTCTGGCTATAAGTAGTTAATACTCAATTGTTATCTAGTATAACACTATTTAACTTAATTCATTACTCTTGTATTAAACAATCAAAATTTTATCAAATGTCTGAACATTTTCACAAGTCATATGTTGTTGTATTGTCCCTCACTGATGTTTGATTTCACACACTAGTGTGTTTATATACTTGCAAACTAACCCCAACATTTCTGGGTTTCATACCTGGTAGGTTTGGATTGTATCTTTGATCAGGTACTGGGCCACATGATCTTAATTTATAACCTTGTGTCTCTGTAGTATGTGTTTGTGGTATCATGACATTTACTGCAACACTGATTACTTGCTGAATTTCAGCTGCTCTACTTGGCTCTGCTACATTGCTTGGCAGTGTACTTTCGTTAATATTTTATCCCCTGTTCCCAGCATTATGACATCTATATCTATAATTATTTCATCATTCTCAGATATTATATCTGTGACTTCATCATTTTTCAATGTATTCTTCATTTATCTGATTATTACCAATGCTTTTTGACATTTTACTCTTAACTTCTAATCTATTATTTGTTTTTTAACAGAATCTTGCTTATCTAATAACTCTTCATATTCATAAGACTTAGTTCCTTATTCTTTTTTACCTCACTGACATGTACTACTTGTGGTTTGTTTCCATATCTATGTCTCTTGCATTTAAAAATTGAGGGGAACTTATTATTTTCACTACATTAAATTGATCCCTCCATAACTGAATCAATTTATTGTGTTTTCTCTTCTAACAACTGGAATATATATAATTTACTTTCTTATATGTCTGTTCTTCCCCACTTTCAGTTGCTTAAGTGTTCATTTGCTATTTTAAATGCCACTTCTATCTTTTGCATCATAGATACTTTATAGACCTTACTTAGTGCATAATTAATCTTCCATAGATAGCATGAAATCCCTACCTTATAGTAAAAAAAAACTTTCCTGAGTAACCCATTTGCAACACTTCTATAAAGTAAAAATAGCAAAGTAATTGCTGATAATCCCAAGCTTTTTACCTAATTTCTAATTTGACAACACATCTAATAAAGTTTTCTTAAATCTCTATCTACAAGTTCATTGATATGTGTGCATAATATGCTGTTGTCTCTATTTCTTCATACCTAATAATTCTCATATTTCTTTCATTAATTTTGAAATAAAATTTGTGTTTCAATTGTCTTACTAAAATATGTTGTGCATTTGGATGAAGAAAATGGAGGCACTTCATTCCAGTCATATTACATTTATTTCTCAAAAAGCAGAAACATAAACATTTACAATAGTTCCTTCACTGTGTAGATCAATATAACAAAATTTGTAACAACAACTAGTACTTGAATAGCTGAGACAAAGGTTTCCAATCATTTCAAACTGAGCCACATGAACTACTCATAGAGGTCATATGAAATACCCAAAGTATTGCAAGAGAACTCTTAAAATACATTATGGACCTTTTTAACTACAGAGTTAAACAGCGACACAAATTATTTATTAAGGGCAGTTTTCTAATTCTAATGTGCCACACATATATAATATTTTGGCCCAAAGTATTGCAAGAGAACTCTTAAAATACATTATGGACCTTTTTAACTACAGAGTTAAACAGCGACACAAATTATTTATTAAGGGCAGTTTTCTAATTCTAATGTGCCACACATATATAATACTTGGCTCTCAAACTTAGCTCTCTCTCTCAAGCTCTCAGCTTTATATGTTAAATTTAAGTTTATTGTTTAAATAGTAATGTATTCTCATTAAATTATATCATTTATAGTTAACTGGTTATTAATAAACCTCTCAATAACTTCTTAGGAGAGTTAACTGTATAGTAAAATCTCTGTCTTTCATCCTGTACATTTGTTTAACTTTGACTGTAGTTTGTGTTATTGAATAAACATTGTTTTTAATATGTGCTTCACATTTGTGACCATTTATCACATTTGTTTATTTTACAAATTCAGCCAGACCCAGAAAATTCATAATTACTTTGTATTAAATTTCTTTTTTCAATTTCTTGCTATTCTGTGGATCTATCTTTTTCACTGTTGGAATAAATCAGTTTTACCTAGGAATACCATACCTGTGAATTGTTTAGACCTTAATTTTAAAATTCTTTCTCTGACATTTCACGATTTACTTAGTCTCTCATCCATTTTAGAGTGTTTCTCAGTTCAGTTTCTAGTTGATACTTCCATACTACCACATGATTATGAATGTAATTCTTTCTCTGACTTGCAGTGTTTTACACCAATCATACATCAATTCATTATGGCTGTTTTATTGATTTAATGAAAAACCTCACCTCACCTGAAAAACCTCACCTGAATTTGCTTCAGTAGTGTCTGTTAATGTAAAGAAGTATCATCTCAAATTCATTAGGCCTACTGGTTGTTCTTTTTCATTGACTAAAACCTTTATCATTAGCAGAATAACTATTTAATTTTTTGAAGAATTGTCTATGTTACTCTGTCTCCCTTTTCACACATGTTCTCAGATTCATTAGATATTGTAATATAATCATGCTTACTCTTTTCTGTAAATGATATTTACACAGATAAGAAATATTTAATTTTTACCACTTAAGGAGTGATGGGTCATTAATTTTAATTCCTTGGTTTACAAACTTTCAGAATCTCATTTAAATTTTTAAATTCCTCCTTCACAATGTGAAAAAGTTATGATATATTTAAATGCCTTTCCATTTTTGAACATGATTTCCACACAAAGAAAACATTGTTATTGATATTTGCCCTTGGACTGTAAGTAGATGTGAAGATAATGCATGTTCGTATGTTAATTACAATTATCAGGAACATCGAGAGCCAGCACAGACCCCAGGGCAAACATCCTCGCTGGGCCCCCTTTCTCTCTTTTTTTAACATTTTCAAGAATTTATTAAAAAAAAGATCCTAAATTAGGACAGCAATGAGCTCATAAACCAGACAAAATCATATTTTTTACCTCACAGTATAAGTGTAAAAATGTTAATGAAGTAACAACAAATATCTATTAAATTTATAAAGTAACAAATACATATTAATTATTACTCAAATTATTATTTCAGTCGTTCTTAATGTATCAAGCATCTATATGCAAAGAAAAGCC